ATTGGTCACCTATTTAATCGATTTTTATATAGTCAAGGTAAGATTTTTCAGTAATACGTTACTTTACCTTTATTTATGTCGAATTATGTACATTTAGTCACTGGCTTTATCATTTTTTACTAATATGTTGAAATCTCTATTCGAAAATTTATATTCTTTATACGTATAAGTCTCGTCTAGGTTTAAGTCACTGTTTATTCACGTATCTTCGATTGTTCAGTAATAAAAATTCTACATTTTAGACTGGTAAAAGTTTTTTGCAAATATTTTTTTGAAATGTAACCATTCAATTAAATTGTTCCTCACTCTTTTCTCTACACAGAGATTATACTTTCAGCTATAATTGGTTAGTCACTTAATCTATTTTTATGTTGAGATGTTATAGGTCATTGTTTAAACTTTATACGCGTACATGTTATCCTATTGGTTAGTTATTTTATCTTTATATATGGCAATATCTGATCGGTCGTTGACTTGATCTACCTACAGGTGCAAACCGTTGCCTGAGATTTGATTATGCTTTATCCAATAGAGATCTAGGATCCCCCTTTGTAACCAAACTAACAGTAAAAGTGATGAGTGACTCAGGGACCACACCGCATCAATTCTCTACAAGCACCGGTAATGTATGGACCACAGCTGAGATAAACCTACCCGCAGCTCCCAACTTAAAGGTACATTATATTGTTTTTAAAAAATAAAGTAGTGGCATTTTTGGTAAGGTAGATACTCAATAAATTCATGTCACATTTTCTTCGAAATACCCTCAAGGGAGTAATTATTACTAATCATAAAAACACATGTACAATGTGAGATTTACCAACGAAATTTGAATTTTACTTAAAGCTGACATGAACTCTTAAAAAGGCACCAGTTTTCATCTTTGTACGACTTACTACATTCCTGTTCGCCTTTGTCCGCCATATTTCCTCGATTCCGCCATATTTAATCGAACATTTTTGGCCACCTGTACCTGCTATATATAGCCTTTTGGGACTGTTTCACTTCAGTGATTTTCTATCCTGGCTGTCGACATGTGCACATCTCCGATAGCAAAGTTTTAAGAAGTCCATAAACTGACTAATATACATGTTTGAAAAGTAAAAATTCAACAAAAACTAGAACTATACCGAGAATTAAATTATTTTTGAATGCATTTGCTGCAATATAGAAAATACACTTACACGGAAAATATTCAAGTAGAACAAAAATTCCATGCAAGTCAGTCGAGAAAACGCGTCAAACGCAGTGATAGAAATATTTACCTGAATACTGCTATCGTTACAGGGGTGTGCACATGTCGAAAGAATTATCCTATTTTACTTTTATTGAAAAATGCATCTCATAAATCATGTAATCCATTGCTAACTCAACAGTAAAAAACTTCCTGGTACACACGTGGCCCATGCCGATCAATTTATTTGATCAGGGAAAATATCAAAGGTTGAAAGCGTCGTAGGGTTGACTGAAGAAAATGCAGATAATTTTTTTTTAAGAATAAACATTACTCTTGTCTGTAAATGGTGTAAAAAAAAATTTTGAAAACATGGTTTAACTTCATCAAATTTATATTAAAGTATGCATTATTACGAATCATTCACCTTTTGAAGATGTAAAGACATTTTCCTGTGAAAGGGGTGGGGGGGGGGTAATAAAACATGCATAACACTCTCATAATTTTTTTTTAAGAAAAACGTCTAAAACAGATCGGATTTCTTTATGATCAAATAAATACTGTATATTGGCTTTATTAGACCTAATATAATTTGATTTAAAGTTATTTATAATTCTATGGTCAATGAAAGAAAAAGTGAGCAAATTCACATACCCCACACTCCCACATAAGTCGAAGTGCTGAAATTCACAGAAAAAATAAAGGAATCGTAATTTTCTTGTAAACTGCTCATTTTTATATTCAAGATATGGCCAAAATCTAAATGTAAAAGTGCGGACATTCCCGAAAAAAGAAAGATTTCAGAATTTCCTGGTGATGAACAAATACAGACATATTGACTCCTCTGAATATCAGCATAGTTCAACAAAACTCTGTGCATTAGTTTATAAGACCAAAAAAAAAATGGGCTGACTGATGCGTCCAAAACATTATACCTCACGCAACTTGTTGCAAAGGGTATAATAAACGAGTGTGATTCTGTGGTACAATGATAATGAAAATAGAATTTAACGTGAATTAAATTTCTAGACATAAATAATTAATGATAACTTGAAAAAGCAGATAAAAAGAGAGAGGAAACCCCCCGTGAGAATTCCACGTTCTACTTATAGCTTTTCGAAAATTCTCTTGTTTGTTGTCCAGGTTCAGCATTTAAAGGTACTTGGACACAGATTTGAAGTTAATATTTTCTATTTTTTTCTGTATAATATCACGAATTGTATATTTTAATAGTATTTCACACAAAAATTAATTAAAAATCTTATTTCATTTAAAAGTTATTAAAACTTAAAATTTTTTGGCGGGTTTGATAGACACATCCTTGCACTTTCACAAATTTTAACTTTATTCTTAATCCTTAGGAAAAGTGGCAATTTTGAAGTGTTTTAATGAGAAATATTAAAACTTCTATCAGGAAAAATAATTTTATTCAGAGTAGAAATGTTAGAAAGCAAAACACCTTCACAAGTATCGTCATTCTGAACTAAGAGATACGTACAGAGTTTAGCAAATCGAGCACACTCGTGTTATGTACACAGTTTTTGTAAACAGGGCTAGAGTTCTGTTATTGTTTATATTTAGAAATCACCGGGTGCGTTCAATCGTCACAGTCTGCTTACCACAACTGCATGGACTGACAATATATTGTGTGTTTGTTTTGCTTTCGAACGTGTCTACTCTGAATTTTTTGGATTATAGTATTAATATTTTTCATTTATACAAGACGAGATTGCCTCTTTTCCTAAGGATTAAGAATAAAATTAAATTTGTGAGAATGCAAGCATATGTCAATCAAACCCGCCGAAAAATTGAAATTTCAATATCTTTTAAACGAAATAAGATTTTTAATTAATTTTTGTGTGAAATGCTTTTTAAATATATAAGTCGTAATATTATAGAGAAAATAATAACTTCAAATATGTGTCCAAGTACCTTTAAGTGTCGGAACCGGGGGGGGGCTTTTTTTTTTTTTTTTTTTTTTTTTTTACAAATATATACATAGTATAGACATTGAATATTGCTGCGTAGGTTTAGCCCCCCCCCCCCCTTTTTTTTATAGACAAGTCGCTGTATAAGTTAAAAAAGAGGAAAGTGTAGGTGTTTGGAGAAAAATTTTGTTACTGAAGTTCGAACCCAACCAACCCCCTTTCCCCCACACGAAATAGGATATTTGTGTTTAGGAAAAGGACATTTTCCCCCTTTTTTAAGCTTGTCAGATTTTTTGAATGTATAAAAAAAATCTTTGCACTTAGCCCCCCCCCCCCTTTCAATTTCCTTCCAAAAATATGTACTTTGCCATTATAACCATATGGGCGGTGAGGGTATCATTTAGTGAGCTCATTTCTCATAATACCTTTAGTTTCTCTTTCAATTTGGCCGTTCGGATTAACTTCTCGTCCAAATTAAAATTATTTTTCAATTTATGAAGTTTCGACATCCCGCCTGAAAAAAACCCTTGAACTGTCCTAAGGCTTAATTAATGGACAGCACAAAGTGCGTAGGATGGTAACAGATGGTTACAGAGTGAGAGAGAGAGGAGAGAGAGAAAGAGAGAGAGTTATTTCAATATACAATTAGTAAATAAAAATTATCCGTATTCAACCAGTGTCAAGACTCCCTACCATAGCTTTTAGAATTATCTCCCAAATACTCCTACAGAAATTATTTTTAAATATAAAAAAAAGTAGCTAGACTATCAGGCAGGTATACTGAAATCTGGAAAGCCTCTCTATAACACCATAATTATAAAACATTTATATATACATACCAAAAAATGAACATACTTTGTGGTCGGAGTGACAAATTTAAAATAAAATTTTCAAAATTGAATTCGGCAGAGATGTCCGTCTTCCAAGAATATTTAGATAACGGTCATGTCAATTATTTTTCACCCCCCCCCCCCCCGCCTAAAAAATCAAATGCCTAAATGTCAATCTGAACAGGGGATGGCATTTCTTCGTATGTTTGTGTGTTAAAGAACGTATAGATCTATGTACACATAAAAAAAATTTTATTCTGGTTAATTGCTTTTAAGATATGAAGTAAATAATTGCGGTACATCAAATTACTAAATTTGAGATTAGTACTACAATTATCAGTTAAAATTGACAAATGAATTTTGAAACGCAAACCAACTGCAGACTATATACTTGACTTTGTAAATAATGTATATTAGAACTACATGTAGATAGACAATTCACAATTATAGCCTATGAAAATAATTTATAACCCCCCCCCCCCCCCCCCTCTTCAGCCGCGCAAATACCAAATAACTTCTCTTTCCACTTGTGATATTTTCGCTGACCAAAATCTGATTAGCACGGACTAGGTGTATCGACGTGCTTGTATGTACGGAGTAATGTCAGTGTGTTTACTATTGAGCTTTTACGGAGTTTATTTCTTTTTTGTGATGCATATTTCAATAAATGGAATTCAGGGTGTATTTCACTTGACTTGTGCACATCTTCGAACCGATGCAGTTACCTTATTACCAGGTATGGGAATGGTTACAGCGTTCGAGGCGTTTTCTCGATATGCACCAATTGCATAGGGTCTGCAAATCAAAGACGTTGGTTGTTTTTTGCGCCATTCAAATGAAAATAATTTCAAAATGTGTTGCAGATTTCACTGCTTTTTATTTCTGCATAAATTGGCGCACTGTAAAAATACGTACTCGTGCATCTAAATTTCTTACCAAACTTGTATTTTTTCTTTTGATTCAAATCAATAATTATTCAGAAATATATATGATTATTATTTTGTCTATTGTGGTTTTGAACTGTCTTGATTTCCTTATGTGTTCTTATGTATGTGTCGGCATAGTGTGCCAGAATGGCGGATCTTGTCATGTGACCGCTGGTTCGACTCCTGAGTGTCAGTGTCAGACAGGCTTCTCTGGACAGTTCTGTCAGAATGGTATGTTGTCCAGTCTTCATCATTCAATATTTTTATTTTGCTATCAATTTTATTAAACAACCTTAAAGTTTGGCATCTCTTTGATACGAAGGAACACACCACTGCAGGAGAAATCAATACTAAATTATTTTGTGTTACAAACATTGTCGTATGTTTTGATTCCAAATACCCTTAGACTTTTTTTAACTTATTGGTATTGCGTATACAGAATTAGATGATCTTGATATTTTTTCATTTGTATATCAATTAAGTTGTTTGAACAGCATTATGTTTCTGACCTTGTTCTACTTATAACAAGTATTTCCTTTAACAGGCATTGTACTCAATTTTACATGATATTGCAGTCATCTCTAGTAGTATCAAAAAGAAACTATTGAATGCACTTAATGCGAAAAGAATAAATAATATATGGTAAAGAAATTTGTTCATAAATGACTCTAGGAAAAATAAAAAAAACAATCCATTTGTTGTATATAAGAATATTTTTCAGACGTATGTAGCGGTAACACGTGTGTAAATGGAGCTTGTACACGTGTGTCAGTCACTGACTATACCTGTCAGTGTGACGAAGGCTGGTTTGGAGATAATTGTGACACTAGTACGTGAAGATTAGTATATTTTGATATTAGTTAAAGCAATATGTGCTGCGTGTTTGACATTGGGGAATTTTGATGCAAATTTGTAATTAGCTATTTCAATGACAGAAAAAAAAAACATAAACTTCTGTTCATATTTGCCATAGAAAATATTTTTTTTAGCTTTGATTGAAGCAAAATTGAAATCTTGTCGTCCTGTACAATAATGAATTCTTCAAGAATACTCAATATTCGGTCGTAAAGAAATATTTCTTTCGAAGCATTTTTTAAACTTTATTTTGGGCTTATTTGTCATTAGGGTTTACATTACATACGAATGAATCATAATTGCCATACTTTACCTACAAAATAACATTTTCAATAATGCATATGGAAATAACGAACAGTATTCAATCTCAACGTCCATTAAACAAATATACAAAATAAGTGCAGAGCAAACACGGACCTCCGAAACATCAGAGGTGGGATCAGGTGCCATGGAGGAGTGAGCATCCCCTGCCGACCGGTCACACCCGCCGTGTGCTCGTTGTCATAATCAGGATATAACGGAAAAAATCCGTGGTCAATTCAGTGTATAAATAATGGACTAACAATTGGTATGAAAAACGTCATTCAGCATTTCATTCAATGATAAATTGTATTTGCTGACAAGGTCATTGTATCGACCATAGAATTTACGAAATGATGACTTTAAACGAGACTGTTGATATTCTTGTTTCATCAACTTGCTTGTCAATAATTTACCTCGTTTAAGAAACTGTTCATACGCAGAGCATGCTCTTGCATATCGAATCAACTGAGATATAAATACTCCGTATGCAGGTGATGAAGGTATATTGCTGCATAAGTAAGGGAAGTTGACGATAGAAAAATTAAAGTCATCACGTTTATCATATAGCTTGGTTGTTAGATTACCATTAGTGTCTTTTTCAAGTAAAATATCCAAGTATGAAGCAGAAGTGTCGGACTCTGTGGTATCTTTTATCTCAAGCTCACCAGGATATATCGTGTCAACGTATGAATGGAAATTATCATTATTAATTGACAATACGTCGTCGATATATCTAAATGTCCAGTTGAAGGCCACAGCAAGTGTATCTCATATTGCTTGTACTAACTGAAATAATTGTGGGATTGTGAGTTAACAATGGATCAAGTCTAACAATGATATATTTACATCCACTTAATATATTTTTCTTTATTTATTAAGAAAACCCATTGCGTTCATCACTGCATGAACTACATTAGGCATATTACCTGTACAAATTTCTTGATCAGTGGCCGTTCCATCATTGAAACGTACAAAGACGTTCGCATCATTAACACAATAATTATTATTTTACATCCTACTTAAAATGATAACTTAAACAGATATAAATATAAACAATAAATTTTCTTTCTTTGTTTGTTATTACTGGAATGAACGGTCGCATGTTAAAATAACTGCAGCATTTGATAGCAAACATGAAAAACATACTCGATTTTGTTTGAATTTCCACCACTTTAAGATGATTCCGATATTTTTTTTTCTTCAGATCCTTGTTCCTCTAATGACTGTGTGAATGGAGCTTGTTCTGCGGTATCAGCTACGGAGTTTACATGTCAGTGTAATGAAGGCTGGTTTGGAGATAAATGTGACATTGGTAAGTGAATACAGAGACCCAATCAAATGAAAAGCAAACACGTTTTCCCCGAAAGTAACATGTGTAGACCATGTTTCAATAATGTTTGTTTGTCCTTTTCCGACCGGGGGTAATAAAGTTGAATTGGTTGGAAAGTTGATAAAAAGATTAAAAGTTTCAACATCATCAATTGATCAGTACTGAATGAAAAAAAGTTTTTTTTTTTCAGAAATAATTTTATTTTTTAAAAACCCTTTGAAGTTCAAGAGAGACTTAATTTTTTTTGCCAATCAGTCGAAATAGGGCAAACAAAAACCAAATATCTTTAAAAAATGACCATATTTCACCACTTCCATGGAAATCATTAATATTTTTTTCTAACGAACAAGGTATGGTCTCCATACAAATCTTACCCTGTGATTTTTTTCTAAAAAATGAAATTGGTGTAAAGGGTGAAAACTCATGCTTTTTGAATAATTGTTATTCCATGCAGAAAAATCGTACAAATCATTTTTTCTCACATGGGTTTTTAAATGCTAACTGTGAAGTCATAAACAAGTGCATTTTCCCGTATTTTCTTAAAAGGTTACAAAGACACCAATTTTCTAAGTAATGTTCTTTCAGATGGTACATGTACTGTCCACAGGCATCGCCCACAAGGATTTTGAGATATGTGATTTTTTTATTGACTGTTGAACAAAAAATCCAAATCAAAAAATTAAAGTGGGCGATGGATGTGGACACTATTTTCTGAAGGCGAATTACTCTTGAAATGGACGATTTTGAGGTTTTTTGTGTTTTACATAGAGAAATGCACAACATTATTGATGTCTTATTTGCGGAATGGTAAACCTTCATGCCATATATTCTTTCCTGATTTAACACAGCCATATACTTAACTAACATTTAAGCTAGTTTCAAAACTTTTTGATGCCACAGTGAAGTTGCCATTACTTTTATAGGGCACAATAAAGCTAAACCTGTTTACCTCAGAAAGTACACAAAAGTTAACCTGTCAGGATAAGCCCAATATCTGAAGCAGACATTGCAGGGATTGATTGATTGATTTTATATTGTTTAACGTCCCTCTCGAGAATATTTCACTTATATGAAAACGCCACCACTAGACGGTGGAGAGCTGCAATTCTTGTCCAAAACTCGACACTCAAGGTCACATTTTCTGTGACTGAAATCCCCCAAATGCAATACAACAAAGATTAATATTTT